TGCATCCGAAATGGATTACTTATCTAGTATATGTTATGTGAAAAAGAGTACGCCAAACACAGTACTTGAAAAACAGTAGATGAAAAACTCACATAGCATACTATTTCTGGAAAGATTCTGAAGTGCGCTTTTTTATGGACACTTTACTTTTTCTGTATCTGCTTTGAGGCCAGGAGAGAGGATTTGTAAATGGCAATGAAGTCAAGCAACTGATGCTGCAGGTCACATGACCATATGGCAGATGTAGTACATCCGAATTTCATTCATGCTATATAGAACATACTTTTTTAGGGGTCACAAAGTTCGAATTCAAATGTAGTACAAATGTAGCAGTATGTGATTTTGGACACACCATATAAGTGAGTCATTAAATCATTCACCCAACCAATTAGTTCAAAATGCTGATTCATTCAGTGACGAAACACAACTGTGTTCCTCGGAGACGTGGTTGATGCTGCCGTGGTTTTCTTTTGAATTATTAATGTTAGCAAAAATGGACCTAGCAATATTGTCTCTAAAATGTAAGTTACTCCATTTTTAACTTGTTGTTTATTTAACTGCTGTGCAAAAGCAATATCACACTCATTCACAATCGCAATTGGTGCTTTTAGGAGTTGTTAGATGTTCCATTATTTTCCTGGCAGAATCCTACATATGAGACATTTTCCTCACACGTGCCTACTTATTTGAAATCTCATATTTCAGATCTCCCACAGTTCTGCCACAAATATCACTAAGACACAAAATAACCAGAGCCACAGTTACACTGTCATTATCATAAGAAAAATGCAGATATCTGGTCATCTTCTTCCTAAAGATGTCATTTTGTACAAGGTGGATATTTCAAAGTGTGAAATTGTCAAGATAATTGTAAATAGGCTAGATAAAAAAAGGACTATTTATTATGTTTTTCAAATCAAGGTCATGTAAGTTGGACTACGTGATCATTAGCATTCCCGATATCTTTTATAAAACCAGAGGCACATGAAAAGATGTGTTGGAGATGTGTGAAAAACAGAGTATATTCCGTAATCCTATTGCATTTTTGTATTTGGAATTTTTAACGCTTTTAAAAGGTATCAGGATGCTTTGCTGATGTTAAAATATAGCTTTTCTGCTTGTTTAGCTCCACATATTTGGCGTTTTCTCTTCCACACATGATAGAATGGTTGCTTTATATAGTCTTGTTTTCATGCTGTGGAGGGAAATAATTCTCTGACCAACTGATCCTCAATTGCTGAGTCAGTGGAGTCTGTCTGTGTGTTTATGTGTGAGTGTGTCTCTCACTATATTGATTTTCCTTTTTTCTTTTTGGAAAGGAGGAAGAAAGGGTCTAAGAATCAAACAGTAAACACTTGCTAGGGAGAAGAGGGGGTTAATCAAACGGCGCAGATTCTGTTCCCTCACAGCTAAATCCCGCCAAATGCCCTGTCATATCATGTTTCTGAATATGCCTGCGTCCTGTCAGCGCGTTGCACCTCAGCTGCTTTGCACACCTTGAGCGGAAAGCATTCATCACCAAGCCTGCTATTTTTAGACCCGTATTTTTAGCTGTGTAGAAAATGAAATCAAATGCATGGTTGGAGTCCACCCAGCGATTTCTTTGATTGACATCTGGGTTCTGCTCAATGAAAAATATGTCTAGAAAGGATAAGAGGTGAATATGACAAAGCAATAATGAAAAGGTCTCCATCACTCTAACAGTAATTTTACACACTTTCATTTTTAAAATATAGGTTTGAGGTAGTTTCACATGGTATACTATGCTTTGTCACAAGAATTATAAAGTATGACATAATAGGGGAGAGTGGGGTAAGATGTGCCACTTTTAATATTGTCTTTTAGGAAATGAGACATGAGATCAGAGTAACATAAATTTCAATACACTATAATAATTGTAACATTGTAAAAATACTAATAATAATTGTAACATTTATATAATTTATGTGCATAAATGTATGCATATCTCATGATATCTCTCATTTCTGAGTTTCTGAGTCATTACAAAGGCAGTGCCATGAGCAGCTGATGCACACACAGCGTTGGGCACCTGCAGGTCTAGCAGCAGAAACGATGACCTCAGACCCCTTTTCCCCAGTAGAGGGTGCAGTGACTGACTGATTACCTCAACCTTCTCTGGGGTGCTGCCTGCAGAGTCACGCTTGACTGCATGTAATTATCAAGGATGAAACCATTTTCTAAGTGTTTGCCTTTTCCTCCCCTTCTGATTCCCTTGTGTCGTACCCATCCAAATACTAAAATGTTACTTGATAGAAGGGCCACCTATTATGTCGCCAACAGTCAGTGGAAACCAATGAGACTTGATTTATAGTTAATAGTTACAAAATTGTGCAAGTTCTTGTATGGAATGGAACATTGTGGTTACACTGGACCGAAAAGCAAAAACTCCCAATTAAAATGAGCCTTTTGTTTGGAATAACTATGCAGATAAAT